TGACTGAAATCAAACGTCTGTTAATTTACAAAACCAAAATGACCGCCATGCACAGAAAAAGAACACAGACATCACACAGCAGCACATTGTTTACGGAAGCAATAATAGATGGAAATGCTTCTGGATAGATTTTAGGTTTTATTCAGCAAGATACTTGAGATCTTGTGTTTTTACTGTGTTCCTATGTAAACACAACAAAATCACAAAATCCTACCAAATATTTTTGGTCTGGTTTCCAGTGTAAATGTCTTTGTACACTTTGAAATAATCTGCCAGTGGAATTAATACATCCATCCATTTTCTTACACCCTTGTCCCTAGTGGGTTCAGAGGGGTGCTGGTGCCTCTCCAGCTAACGTACGTTCTGGGCGAGAGGCAGGGTACACCTTGGACAGGTCACTAGTCTATCGCAGGGCAACACAGAGACAGACAGGACAAACAACCATGCACACACACCTAAGGAGAATTTAGAGAGACCAGTCATGTTTTTCTACTGTGGGAGGAAGCCGGAGTATCTGGAGAGAACCTGCACATCCAGAGGGAGAACCTGCAAACTCCATGCAGAAAGACCCCAGGCCAGGAATCGAACTCAGAACCTTCTTGCTGCAAGGCAACCACTGTGCAGATCTGGAATTAGTACTTTTGCATGAATTTTAAGAAATTATTTATTAAAACAAGCTCCTGCATCTTTCCAAAAGGTTACTTGTTAGTTTTGCAACTACATTTATTTCAAATGTATGAAATAAACGTACACTTGTTTTTTGGTGTATTTTTGAATAGACCAAAAATGCTTAGTGAGATTCGTGTTTTTGCAATGTAATAAAATATCAGCTTGGGGTTGAACATCACCACGATGTTTCTACATACAGTTCCATCGTTTTAATTTATCAAAACTTAAAAATTTTAAAATGAACCATCTTGGAGCTGAAATGCTGTTGACCTATGGCCACACACTTTGAAGCATGAGTAATGACGAACAGCAATCTGTCCACGTTGTAAAATCGTGACCGTATGGATGCGGCTGAGAAAGTCCCAGCATGGCCAGAGATGGAGGGGGGAACAGATTCAGAGCTGCAGAAACAGATGGATGGTCTTTATTGTCCCAGCATGGGAAATATGTAGAACCTATTCATGGCCTGCACATGTTCATGCTTCAAAGAGGGAAAAAAGCCCAAAGCAGACTCAGAAATGTTCATTTATGAAGGGGAAGAACACATGTGAGTTTCATTTAGGTCATGAAGATACGAGGGTTTTCTTAGGAACTAATGGTATGTGGTAGGAGCTGGAGAGCAGCGAGTTAAAGGAACACCTCAGAGTATCTTTGCTGGTCACAGTTACCTTCAATTATTCATGGCTGCTCAGCTCAATGGGCCGCCTGCAGTGATCAAAATAAAAAAGGTGCAAGATCAGGAGGGAAGCAGGAATACAGCGAGTTCAGCATCTGAGCAGATCTTTGAGCTCTTCTTGTCTGTCCTGACCAACACCGCTTTTTTTTTTTTTTTTTTTTTTAATTAAATAATTTTTTTTGTGAAATCTACAGTGAACAATCCGCAGCTTGCATCAGTAGTGGGTCAGTAGAAGTGTAATAATACAAAAATATACATATATTTCAAAGTCCTTAAATAATGTACTGACTTTGCCAAAAGTTCAGTACAAATGTTCGCCATATTTGCACATGGCTCTTAAATACGCAGATTTCCACTCATTATTGATGAAGGTAGAGAAATTGAATTATTGAACATGTACATAATTAATTATTCTGCTGGGTTAATAATTAACAAAACTGTGAAATCATACTTTGTCACATCAACCTGACCATCTCTATTTATTTGAGAGTGGTTAGACAGGAAAGTAATGAGAGAAGGGGAAGACATTTGGTGACGGTCATCAGGCCTGGACTCGAACTGTGACTGCTGCATCGAGGACTAAGCAGGGCAACACATAGACACACAGGACAAATAACCATGCACACACACTCACACCTAAGAAGAATTTAGAGAGACCAGTCATGTTTTTTCTACTGTGGCTTGTGTGTTACCCCTGCACCACCACAGCACCCCTGTATGATGTAGTTAGCTAAATTATTTACCAGTTGTGCTTATCCTGGTTTTATGAGAAACCCTGTATTATTGTAATGCTTTTGAGATGCTAGTCGGCTGATTCCAAGTTCAAGCTTATAACTTTAGCTGGATGACCTCAATTTTTTTTCCCCTCACTGAGTCTATGTTGGAAGCTGGCAGTGGTGGTCACCTCCAACTGAAAAGTTAGTTGTGCTAACCCTAAAGCGCTGATCATAAACACTAGTTCTGGCTATGCTAAAGAGCTACACCAAAGTGGTGCTTAGAGTAAGCTAATGCTAAAGCGCTAATCATAAGATATTAGTTCCACCAACATTAAGGTGCTATTCCGACATGATATTTTGCAGGAGCTAATGCTAAAGCGTTAGATTCAGTCTTGTAGATACCCACCATCTGCAAAAGGCATAAAATGTATTATAAGATAGAGTATCACCCTCTACTGGGTCAAATGTGTTATTGCACACCTACCTGTACTGTTGAGCTTCAGGATGTAAAGGAAAAAATTATGAACGACTGCTTATAGCAGTGGATGAACACTTCTTTGGCTCTGACTTCTCCCTTCCCAAGCTACATCCACTCACCTGCAATTAGCTCTTCTGGTTTTGTCATTTCTGTGTTTTTCTCAGTAACTAAGCTTGTCTTTCTCTTTCACTCACTGCTGGATTCTCTGTTATTCCTCCTTATTTTTTCCATTACTTCATTTGCTTTTTCTGTTTCCCAAGCTCTATACAAGTTTCTTTTATTTTTTATTTTTTTAGTAAAGAATGGAAAGTGTTTCTTGCCTACACTTGGGTCCTTCCACCACCACCCACTTAAACATGGCAAAATGTGATTTTTGTTGTTGTTGTTGTTTGTTTTGGTTCCATACTATCACCAACAACCTGAACATCTGTTGTGATTTGTTATGACACCTCTCCCAAAAATAGCTGCACCATCTCTTATTCAGGTCTCCTGAAATCCTGAAAATGAGCAGATTCTTTATTTCCTATTTAAGCAGGAAGATAAGCTTCAGCCTCTCTCCTGCCAGAAGTGCTGCTCCAGCTCATCTTAGTGCGGGTGACAGAGCTGATCTGTATGTGCTTCTCATTGGGTTTCATCATCAAACTTTGGGGAAATTAAGTAGCAGCAAGAGCAATGAGACGTCTCATGATTCCCAACTGGGAATAATTCAGTATTTCACTTGTTCTGCTGCGACCAAAGCCCATGAATTTTAATATATTTTACGCAGTGTGTGTGGGGAGGATTATGTTTTTGGATTATCCGCAGTAAGTTTGGGATCTCATTCTGCTGGTCAGAACGTGACGAGTCAAAGGACTGAATGAAATCAGGAAGATGGATCCTTTTTATTACACATTTTGATATTTTTGTAACAATACAGTGGATCATAATATATCAATAACTAAAAGGGTGCTCTTTGTGTATTCGATCATCATTTCTGCTGGGTCAGTAGTGTTTACCTTGAACTTGAACTTCCTGCAGATAACGCTGAAATGTTCAGTGCTCTAATTCAGTGGATAAACTCCCTGTCTTCTTTCCCCTCCTCTGGTGTTTATGCAGATGTATGAAATTATTTCAGCACCTGCTGAGGGCTTGAAAAATGTAATTTTCCAAAAGCAGCATGCAGAAGCTTTTGGTGTTTTTTCCGTTCAGCTACACTAAAATTGTCCTTTAAAGGCTTCTGTTTGGAGATGTGAACATAATCAAAAACACAAAGTTTGAAGGAATTCAAGCTGCTATTTTTTGTTGTGGAGCTCAGTGAGCGTTTGAAAACAATTCCACATCCTTTGGTTATTTTTGGAATCATAAGTTTACCACCCAGGATCAACTGTGACAGAATGAGATGTAATGTGGTTGGAATGCGGATGAGATGGGTCTGAAGCCACCTGACGTCTGACAGTTAGATACGGAGGGGGCATGATGTCGTCATGCTGCATGAGGCAGAGACTCATTAACGGCCAAAATCTGACTGTCAACAATCTAGTGCAAAAAGTCCCACACATTCCTGTTTGCATGGCAGTAATAAAAAAGTATGAGAGGCATTATTATTATTATCATTATTATTATTATTACTATTATTATTATTACTATTATTATTAGGGTTTTTTTTACATCATTATTATTATTTAATTTTTAATTATATTATTATTAATAGTAGAATTAGAATGGTATGGTTTTTCTAATTGGTAATAAAAATATGAAGATCATTATTGTAAAATATTATTTTTTTAAATAAAATTATTAGTAGTACTAGAATTAATAATAATTTTATTAAGGTTATTATTATAATACAACTATAATTATCATTCTTGTTTTTTAATGAAGGAATTATTATTATATTTAGTGTCGTGTACAACATGAATGAATATCAAGTAAAAAATGTTAAATGCTCAAATCCAGAGATCACATCAATCAAGTAACAAAAAAGTACAACAAAAATTTAAATTAAATTATGAATCATGATCTTTGTATTTGCCTTGTAGTGACCCTGCCCCCACAAATGTGTTGTAAATAAAATATTTAAAAAACAGCCAAAAACAGTTTATGTTTATATAAAGTTTTTTGTCAAAGTTTCACCTGCCTGTATGGGTAAGAATTAGAGAATCACGTTGTTATTTTTACCATGGACTTTGGATCATTCTGGTTTTCCACTTGATTGTGTGAAACACATAATTGGAGGAAAATTGTTTCATCCATGCGTCTGTTTTCAAAATTAAAACATTAAAGATTATTGACATAAATTTATCTTTAAAAAAAAAGAAAAGGAATAACAGAAGTTTCTGCAGATGGACTGCTGGGTTCGTCCACAACAAGTTTTGTGTTCGACTGCTGTAGAATTTGTTTGTTTATGTTAAATATAAAATGCTATTTGGAAAGAGATGTTTTCTAAATTGAACTAAACATGGCTGCTTCTTGTTCCCGACAGGACGGCATGGGCAACCTGAGAATAACAGAAAAAGGCCTGAAACTGGAAGGAGACTCTGAGTTCCTCCAACCTCTCTATGCCAAAGAAATCCGGTCCAGTCCAGTAAGTAACCTCCATGTTTTTAAGACATGAATGCCAGACAGAGCTTACACTGTCTACTGTTACACTGACTTTTTTAAGAGGTCCACATTAATTCATGGTAACCTATAAAAAAGGTTACCATGAAGTTCCTATTTGTTTTAATCTGAACTTTCAAGGTTTCCCCCTAAAGGTTTGAGTTTCTCTGTTGGGTTTGACATATATATATATATATATATATATATATATATATATATATATATATATATATATATATATATATATATATATATATATATATATATTATATTCTTATTGAATACTTTGTTCTGTACAAAGTTGAATGTGTTGACAACAAAATCACACAAAAATCATCTGCTTTTGAACCAGAGGAATGTCTGATATACTTACATTATTTCTAGCAATACGAAATATGCCCTTTAATGATTTTAACATTAAAAGTGTGATCAAGACATTGAATTCTTTTTTAATGAAAGGAAAGAAAAAACAGAAACTAGGAGGAAAAAGAAAATTTGGGGAAAGAAAAATAAAGAACAGATTAAAATTGTGAAAAAAGAATAAATACAATGGAGGGAAAAGGAAAAAAAGGAAAAGCAATAAAGGAAGTAAAATGTGAAAAAGGGAAAAAAATAAAATAAAAAAGCAGAAGTGATAAAAGAAAAAAGAAAGATAAAATAGAGAGAAAAAATAAATGGGAATAAAAGTTACAAAAAATAGAGAAAACAGAAAAAAACAGTGGGATCAAGGTGCGGTCATGTCTGTAAAATAGCTGGATTTGTTCTTAATAACTACTGTAAAATGCATCTTTCCCTCCATAAGAAGAAAAGACTGGGCATGTTGTACAGTCAGGCCAGCCGTGTCGCAGTCCAACCACGTTTCATCAGAGGTCATGACACGACATTTCCTGTTGAATATCACATCATAGGAATCTCTGATCAATATGGCTCCGTCCTCAGGTACTCTACAGCCTCTATACAGGTGCGCACATAAAATGTTTGGCTTGTGGTTTTAGGGCCTTTGTTTTGTTTTCGGTTTTCCTTCCTGTTGCTCCTACAGCAGCTACAGGAAGATGCCAGGGAATTGGAAGAGATGGGGGCCAGATAAAGAGAGAGGCACAACCTCCCTCCGTCTCTTCTGTAATAATCTCTGTGTGCAGGTAGAGGAGGGAGGGCTTGATAATGCAGGAGAGGCGCGCTTTATCTCTGTTGTCTGGGACCTAACGTGAGCTGAGGGAGAGAATGACTGATGGAGGCGGGAGAGCAGAGGGGAGTAAAGAAACAATGGAGAAAAAGAAGAGATGGTGATAGAGACAGAAGCAGGGAGACAGATGGTGGAGGACTGAATTAGAACCAGAGAGACAGGAAGCAGGCGACTCTGGTTTGACAGAGCAACTAAATCATGCACAACATCTTCGCAGCAAAATTGAAATTAAGTCCGGAGTTCTCCAGGAAGCAGATCCAGATAACATGGATAATCTCCCCTGTGCACAATTTGGCACCCTGTTGAAGCGGCTTCATTTGGCTCACGCCAACATGTGAGCATATCTATCAACATGTGATAAATACAGAACATTAGCTGGCAGGTACATTAAAGATGGCTGCAGACTGTTTTAGTCCCCCTCATAAAATATACATATTTATTGCTGCCAGAAGAGTATTGGAAGTGGAGATGATGTCTGCTCCGATTAAACTGAGAGGGGAGATGAATATAAAATCAGGACTAAGAATAGGAAAATGAAGAAGGATGAAGAGAATCACAACAGCCGAGGTGAGAGGAGCTGTATGGCCACATCCAACATGTTGAGTAAGGTAAAAATCGTTAATTCAACATTAAATCAAGTTGGAAACGAATCAATAAGAGAAATTTCTGCAAAACCTCCTGGTCTCTAGAGGTGTGCAACATTGCATCTTTTGGTATCAATTCCAAACCAAATAAATACAGGATATTGCTGATTCCGATACTTATTTAAGTTTGCTATATCATCAAACCTTTTAGGTGTTTTTGTGCGTTTTCCTTTAAATATTTTTTTCAAACCTAGGACAGAATTTGGACAAAGTTTACACAACTTCTAAACCAATAACCAATACGTTTTTCACTCCAAAGGCCAATCACTGATAACCGACTACATACATACAAACAAGAAAGGCTAGTGAGCAAAAATGTAAAACCATGACATAAACAATACCAAATACTGTTGACTTTTTAATTTTGAAATGAAAAACTATTACGCCAACATTTGCCAAAATATATCAACAGAAGGACTGTTATCTATTATCTGAATTTACATAAATTTACATAAAGTTCATAACTTGTGAAATGTGAAAGCAAACGGACATAAAAAACCAGGTCTCCAGAATTAATCAGAGATTTAACATAACATAACATAAAGTGAAAAAAGACGTATTTCACAAGATTAAAATAGAAACTCCTGACTCGCATCAGAAAAGTTGCGGCAGCTCAGCATGATAAAATACAGAGTGGCTAATCAAGACAAAATATTTTAGATTTTCAGAGTTGAGAAACTAGAATACAGAAATAAAACAACATTTCAAAAGGGTTATTTGAAACTAAAGTATCACACTGTCCTCAATCCGATACTGATACAGACTGATGTTACTGACTGATACAGACTGATGACTGATACTGATGTTATCAATATTTTGGATCAATCCCACCTCTACTCTTACAAGCTTTTTCATAATTTTAGTGTCTACTTGTAGTCTTGGAGTCTGTTTTGGAGTATTATCTTTAAACTTCATGACTAGATCTGGTGCACAAGGGTGAAATTGAAGACAGATTGTATTTTACATCCCTCTTTGCAACATTGCTCAAACTCAGTTCAGACTGGATGTATATTGATCAAAATTCAAGTCTTTCCACAAGTTTTCAGTTAGATTTGTGTCCTGGACTTCTGGACAGGCGACCATGCTAAATTTAAATGCTAAAGTTGTCCTTAGAAATTTTGTGGCTTTTTAAAACATTGAATTGTGTCACTTGTGGCTTTCCCTACATACTGCAGTACAAATTGCTTGTATTTTAGGCTTCTGCTTGTGTGACATGTTTAGATTTCAGCTCTAAGTGCAATGGGCCAAACCTTCCTTTAGCAGTATTTCCATTTACGGTGGATGACCTCCATTGTTCAGCATATTTACGGCTGGCGAGGAAACACCTGGTAGAAACATCAAACCGTCGCCCAACAAATAACATATAACAGCTGAAAGAAATTTATCCATAAGGTGAAATGATGCAGTATGATTTGAAACAAATAGATGTTTCCTGTGTCTGGAGTAGATTTACTTCCAGAGATTTTTTGTCAACTCTATTTGGTTATTTTAATTCAACTATCTTCTCTATTTACGTCCTTTCAGCATGGGAGCTGTCCTGCTGGGTGTAATAAGGTCCCATGTATTATCAGCAACATCCACAAACAAAAGTACTGCACACCGAGCCTAAATACAGATGATTGTTCCTATCCTAGAGTAGATATATTAGAAATATATTATATGCATACACTTAAGGATGCGATTTAGTACAAAATAATAGGGCAGAAATGTTCCCAGTGTGTATTCCTCTTTTAGAAATGGAAGATATTGAAACAAAAGTCCCAAATATAAAAAGGTTTTTGCTCTCTGCCTGAGCTGAGCAGAGCCGCGAGTAATGAGAGCTAACGAATGAGCAATGAGCTGTCAGCACATTGAGCTTCGCACTGTAAGATAGAGAACTGAGAGAAACTTTTTATTCAGGACCACGCAGCAAATATGGAGAAAGTTCAAATTTAAAGTTATTTCTCACAGTCTGCATGCTTCTACAAATCTTCCTACCTTGTTAGTTTTCAGCTAATTTTAAAAATAACTCATGAAGTTGAAGTTTACCTCCACCTATAATGGACATACAAATCTGACTATGTATTTTAAATGATTAATCTGAACTGTTATTTTTCTATAATTATGGATCATACAGTGGAAATAATTTCATAAAGAGGATCCTGGTGTAAAAATGTCAGTTTATTGTGGATTTTCTGTTGATCAAAATATTTGTTTGAAGTTTTATTTTGGTATAAATATTCCATCAAGCTTCTGGCATTATTCTGGATATTTGAATCACAAAAATGCACAATTTTTATTTTTTATTTTTTTTCTGAATGGGAGCTAAATTATTGTACTTATGGGCTTTGTTCTAATTAAGACAACAAAAATATAGACAAAAATATTTTCTGTTTTTGTAAAAAAAACAACAGACTTTTAGCTTTAAGAAAATATTGCTGCTGTATTGGAAATGTTACCAATGATTTTTCTTTTTCAAATATTAGCATTATGACAAACCTATAAGTTAAAATTTTCCATATCTGCACGATCAAAGTTTAATATGAAAACTCCTTAAATGACTCCAGCTCATCCGTTGCTTCTTGCTCTCCTTTCTGAGCTCCTCACATTGTTCCTGTTGTTACTTGTGTATCACACATTATATGTATTTACTGTTGAAACTTCTGTTGAAACTTCAATAAGTTTAATGTCATCACTAACACACACACACACACACACACACACACACACACGCACATGCACACAAAGACAAACCCTTCCTGGGCTGGGAGCGGAGCACAGTGGTCCGGCCGTTATCTCTAATTAGGAAGTTGACTGAGGCATGAAGATTAACTGGAGAGAGTCCAACGTGGTCAGCATTCACAATCACTCAAAGTACCCTGGGAAAAAGAAAGTTATTAAAAGCAATGGGAGGATGAAGACAGGGCTGGTTTTGACTCTGAAGTTGCACTTTTGTAACTGTACTCGATACTTTCTGGAGAAACAGTTGTAGTTTAATGATCTGATGGCTCAAAGGCAAAAACTTCAGGCCTCATTTTAGAGTTAAGCTTAACTCCGAAATGCAATTAAAAGACCCAAGAGGACGTATCACACCAAGCCCACAGGGGGCAATAACTGCTGCTTCTCATCAGCTTGGAAAAAGTGCAAATAAGGGCCTGCCAAAAAAAGGGTTGAACATGTCTAATGTTCAGGCTTTCTAAAGATTTTTCTGAGTTTCTCTTTGGACTTTGACTGATTGTTTTGACTGGAGAACAGTACCAATTAAGTTCTGTTCCAAACCTTAATTGGTTCAAATCTTCCTTAAATAACAGGGACTTCTTTGAGTCAATTAGTAACTTGGAACAGGCAGAAATCACATGTGGGGTACCCCATAGTTCAATCCTGGGTCCCTTCTTGTTGTAGTTCTACTGCTGCAGCATGGCTGTGGATGGCAATTTTTTGGGGGGCGTGGCGGAGGGAGTTTGGCAAGTAAAGGAATCGTCTTTTTGTCATCAAAATTTACGTATGTAAACAACATGAAACGTATGCCGCAAATAAAGGAGCTTCACGTCTAATGCTGGGTTTGTTGGCAGCTCTGTGCTGTTTGATCCAGGCTGAGTGTTTAAATGAATAACGCGGTGGATCTCTCCGCAGGGCCGCCCACTGTTCCTGCAGTCATCCAGAAACATCTCGGTCAACATCGTGAACAGCAACAACCAGCTGCTCACGCAGCTCGTCACAGGTAGGACTCAGCAGGAGCCACACCCACTGCTGTCATGGAGCGCATTGATGATTCTTTCATGTGTTGTTTCAGAGGTCAGATAACATCTAGATCAGCAACACATACACCAAACCCAATCTGTCCATCTCACCTCTCTTCACAGTAATAACTGTAAATCATTTACTCCCATATTGCACACAGAAATTTTGATTTCTGCAAATGGAACATTTAATTGGATCCTCTGAAGAAAAACTTTATTCTTCAAAGATTTACTGGTAATTCAGTATTTTTTTTTTGTTTGTTTGTTTTTATCATGTTATTCCACCTACACAAGAGTTTTTTTAAATTCAGACATTGGATGGTACACATACATTTATTTACCACTTTTAAAACCTATTTTTAAATTACACAAGTATTTTGCTTATACAAGCAATATGCCATCCTTTCTTCTATCTATTGGACTGACAGTAATTTGTTGTTGTGGTATTTCTCAGTGACCAGGGGTGGTCAAAAATAATTTGTGGCCTTTGGGATTATTTTCTGTGGCCTCTGACTGCAATCCGTTGGGATTGTAACTGTGTAAATTTGCACGCCAACACGGTTGATTAATCCAGATGGACACAAAAGGTTTTATGGCAAGATTTTACTTTACTCTTCTTATAATACAAAATATTAGTCTAAGCACAAATTATTAACCATATTTTACACTCAAATCCCGATCTGGTTGATGATTGTAGATTTTGATACAAAGAAAATGGAAAATAAACCCCCCCAAAACTTTAGGTAACTGGTTGCTTGTCTAAACAATTGTGTTCTGGTCTGTCATGATTTTACAGATCCACTTACTTCAAAAGACGGACTACTGTATTTCATTAATGTACTGCATGCTTAGGTTGTTGTTGAGCAGGCAAAACAAAACCATTTTTGTAGTTTTAATGAAGAAAAATTATTTTGTTGCTGGAAAATGCCTTAAACAAAATTGAATGAGTTTAAAAAATATGGACCCTTTTTGGTATCTTAAGCTTTTAACATTCAAAGAGCAAAAAAAAATCCTTTGATTAACTTAATGTCATTCAGTAGTAGTAGTTTTTGGGGAGTTCATTTTTTCACTTGGTGTCTTTACTTTTATTGTCTTATAACTCTCATAAGACACAGTCCTTATTGATGCTACCTAAAGAGTTGATCCATCATTAAAAATAGCAAAATCAGACGAATAATAAACCAAGTAAATATAAATCACATTTTCAATTGATGATTTTATTTTCAAACCTGACTCTGTGTAGAAATAATCACCCCATTAAACATAATTAATTGTGCTACTCTTAGTGGCAACAACTCCTGTCAAGGATTTGCAATAAATGTCATTGAGTTTCTTCCATCACTTTGGAAGGAGTCTGGCCCACTTGACCTTCTCAAATTCAACCTCACTTGAGGATTTTCAACCTACTTGAGGTCACTTCTAAAATTGGTTGATTGCAAAATTGCCATTTTAAAGAGTTTCACATCTTCTAAGCCAATTCAAGCAGGAGTAAGAGCAGTTTTGTGTTGCAGATGTGTTATTCTGGGTAATATTAGCTCATCATTTCCAGTTCATTTAAATCCTGTTAATCCTCAGAAATATGCCCTTCATGAGCTTAGCCTCCGTTTCTTTTCTTGTACCATAATCACAGTCTCTCCTTTACTTTCTGCACCTGTCACAACCCAAAGGAGATGATGGCGTTGAATGAATGGTGCTCACTCTGTGTGAACAAGCCCAGGAAGTGTCTTTCACATTAGAAAAGCTGACATTTGGCTTCTGGCTCTGAGAGAGACTCACCGAGTTTGCCCTGGTGTTTTTCCCTTCAGATGACTAAGCTGTGTTCATGTTATGAGGAGGAACTTGGAATCATCCTGGAGAATGACACAATGAATTGCTCTTCTGTCAATCAGTCACACTGGAAGGCGAGTGTTTTCTGCCGCTAGGTTACACAAAGCAATTAAGGTCAGACACATTCGCCTGTGTTGTTCTGTTGGTCATGACACCATTCAGGTTTGTTTGTTTGCACCAGAAGTTTGTTTTTCTCAAATTTGCTGAAGCTTCTTCTTGACACGTCTTTAGGTATGTTATTATAAATTTTAGTGGAAAAGCGTTAAGTCAGTTATTACCATTTAAAGAGTAGGAGGACAGCGGGTAAGTCGACATTCAGATGGTAGCGGGCCTCATTGGATGTAACTTAGCTAATGTTTTTTTTTTTTTTTTCTTTACTCATCTGCCAGTGAAATTGAAAGCAGTCATTGCCATGGCTAATGGCCTATGAGAGCATCTCATTTGGGCTATGAGTTAATAAATAAATAATACACAATCTGATTTAAGATTGATAAAGGAGTTCAAGCCCAGCTCAGAGAAAGATTCTGACAGCAAATCAGAGCAGTGAGGAGAGATGAACGGTGAGGCCAAATGGGTTCTTGGGTCTTGATTGTTGAAACTTGTTTAGTTTGAGTTAAACTAAAATCATCTTTAAAATGGTTTAATGGTTATATTTTAAACATTTTTGAAACATAAAAATGGTTTTATGTGTTAGTATAAAACCATTTTTACATATGGTTTTATGTTAAAACACAAACCATATCATTGGCTCTATGAAGAAAGCTGTTGCTTTGTTAATTTTACAGTATCAACTGTCTTAAAAACTAGTAGTGCTGCTTAGCAAATCTTGTTGGGTTTGCAGCGTGGCACTGACTAGCACCAATTAGCTTAGCATTAGTAAACCTATCAGTGGTTTTCAACAACTGAGGGTTGGTATAATTTGTGCAGCAGTTAATTAGCTGGACAGTAATGTTCTTCAATCAAACTTTCAGATTAGAACCAGTTAGCCCCATCATACCAGTGACCAGCACAGTTAGCTTCAGTGATTGACAATAATTGTAAACTTAAACTTATGCTTCTTTATTGCCATTGCACAAAGACTCAACAGTAAATTGGCAACAAATTGTTGTTGCTTGGCAACAAGAGTAAACAGAAAAAAGTACTGAATGCCTATAAGTGTAATTATAAATACATATAGAAATATAACAAAGTTACTGGTGCAGGTGAGACAAAAAAATTACCCTATCAGTTATTAGCAGTGTTGTCAAGCCTCGGCAGTTTACTACAACAGACTTTTAAAGTATTTTTTTCCCAGTAAATTGATGAGAAACTATTTTTTTTAGTAAAGTCACAGTAAAAAAATTCCAGTTAAATAAACATAGAAAAATTACACTATTAGTCTGTATCCTATTTCTAAGCTTTAATTTTCTTCAGCTACACTTAAGAAGAAAAATATTTTCCAGGCATTAAGAGGGGCCTGATGAAGTACTTGATATAATGCTTAAGAATTTATGTTTCAAGGAGAACCAGCTCTTATGATACTGCCAGGATAATTAAACATACAAACATTTTTTTATTCTACAATGTAACCTTCTTGTGGCTCAATATTTGCAAACATTCCACTAACTGCACAAACGCTCAGCTGAATTTCATCCCGCCCATTTGAACAAACCAACAGCTTCTCTTGGACAATTTCCTCACATGAACGACTCGCTTCAGCTCCTTCCATGCCATTTCTCTTGTATTGAGGTCAAGACTTTGAATTGGCCATTGCTGAACATTAATGTAATTCTTATCAAGCCATTTTTTGGTTGAGCAACCTCAACATTTAGTGCCATTGTGTTGCTCTCTAACCCACTTTCTGCTCAATTCATAAACAAATTTACTGAGTCTTTTATTGATGGAGAAATACAAAAAGCATTACTCCATCAAGAATAGAAGGCTGTCTTGGCCTAAATGCATAAAGTAAAAAATGAAAATTTAACTGCTGAAGTCACCACAGTTGGACTAGTTTTCCAGCAGGACTGAAATACAGCAGCTGCAGGTTTTAGTAGCAGACTTGGATAATATGAGGTACTTGGATAATATGAGTTATCTCTTAGAATGAATATTATGCTTTAAAATTGTTTTGAATTGTCCGTCCATTTCTATCCATAATAGGTACATCGAAAAAACTTTTTTGAATATTGTGAAAAAGATTAGAAAGTAAAGTATTTTTTTTTTTTAAGTACTAGTTCCTTATATAACGTATTTTTGTAAGTGAACTAATATTTTTTAACTAATATTAAGGATTTGTTGACAAGCTCCTATGTCTTGTTGAAATGTTAGTTGAAAGTTAATTTTGTCTTGTTTCAAGTGTACCACCATATTTGGACTACAAACTAGACCAAAAACACTTGGTAAGATTTTGTGTTTTTCCATAGACTGAAATATTTCCAGCCTGTGTTTCGTCTAATTTTGATGATTGTGGCTTACAGGTAATAAAAACTCAGAGTGCCTCAGAAATTTTGAGATTACTCTCAAAAATTTGAGAAAAAATGTCAAAATTTCACAGCTCTAAAGAACTTTGTTAGTTTTAAAACAACACAGGTGAGTAAATACAGTAAGCCAGTAAGGCCTGTAGGACACTTCACCATTCCCTTTTTTTATTTCCAGAGGGAACTGATGAGGATTCCGTCCTCCTCTTTGATGTCTTCTCTCTGTTTGTGTTCGCTTTAGGATCCAGCGGATTTAAAGCGCGAGGGAAGATGTTTGAAGTCAAATCCACCTCCGGGAAGCTGCTGTTTTCCGCTGATGAGCAGGAGGTGGTGGTCGGCGCAGAGAGACTGCGGGTGATGGGTGAGTGGCCTTCCAAAGCGTCAGTCCAAAAAGATGCTGATTTTTGTCAGCTGGACGAAACATTTTCAAGATGTTGGTTTTAAGGGGCTTTTTGGAGGATGTATCAAGCCAGGGTGGATTAAATGCAAAGCGAAGCTCGCATTAGCATCATAAGGAGAACGAAGTAAAGACCTCAGATCTCATGTTCGAGTTGACAACCTGCAAAGTGCGGATAGAGGAGGATTTTTTTTTAAGCTTTTTCTCAGAGGGAGGAAATTTAAGCAGCGATAGCGAGGAGCTCATATTTCCAGCAGGACTCTGGGGGAGAGGAGGTGACATGTAGTCCTTTAGACAAACGAGTTTTGCGCTTATGACGGGAGATAAGAAGTGACAGAGCTATTTTAACTGGACAGCCTCCGAGCGACGGAGACGTGACAAGTGATTTCCTGTGTGAGCAGAGAGAGGTGCAGCGAGAACAGTGAGGAGGTGCAAACAAAGCATCTGCATACAATTAAAGCTGCAACAAAGACGGTCCCGCGGCGTGATGGGAAACATAATCTGCCTGCAGGAGTTGACAGATTTAATGTTGGCTTTCTCTGTTTCGCAGGGCCGTGTCACGAGATTTCAGCATTAAATTAAATGGAAATTATGAAATTTGTTTGACAGTGAGGCTCAGCGTGAGGGTTATTACCAAGCCGCTGCTGAAATTACCATTTTCTGGGTCTGGAGGAAGAGGGGGAAATTTATGCAGCCGGGGACCTCGGGAGGTCAGATATTCGACCAGGGAAGCTGAATAGATGATATGCTAAGTGGATGGATTTGCTAAGCAATGAGTTCACAGCCGGAACAGCCATCCAGTGTCTTCACAAAGTCAATGGAGATTTCCAACAGCAAATTATTCCTTCTAAGCTACCTGCATAGTTTATTTCTCTGCAGACATTTAGATGCATCTTCACTGAGCTTTATTAAGCAACCTGTTGCACATCTCACTCCAGGATGGAGTGATTATACAAGTCAAGTTTATTTGTAGAACATTGCAGCAACAAGGCAGTTCAAAGTGCTTTACGCCATAAAACATAATATAACAACCAATTATGAAGCAGCGATAAACATTATATTTTGCCAAATGTCATTATTGTAATCATCAAGACTATAATTATATAACTGATCATCAAAGGCATCGCTAAACAGGTGGGTTTTTAGCCTTGATTTAACCAAATGCACCAAATTTGTGGTGCATAGAAGCTGAATGCTACTTCTCCATGTTTGGTTCTGGTTCTGGAGATGCAGAGCAGAACCAGAACCAGAAGATCTCAGAGGTCTGGAAGATTGATACAAGAACAACAGGCATTAGTCTGCCTTTGCACAAAGTTAATACAATTGTGAGTTTTTTTTCTACATAGGCAAAAAATTTAATCTACTATATCTGGCCCTCACAGGTGTTAGGAACCACAGCGAATACTTGAGACGCCAAATAAAATGTCAATAACTGCCTATTTCAATAATTCAAACATCAAATATACCTCAATATGCATTAATTCACACAGTGGAAAGAAAACCATATTAGCACTACCATTAGCTATGCTACGTTAGCTCTGCTATGTTAGTTCTGCTGAGTTGGTTCTGATTTTTTTTTTTTTTTTTTTTTTTTTTTTTCCTTTTTTTTTGGGTTGATTCATTGCCTGTTTTGACAGCTGTTTCCTCTGTTTCTGGTTGCTGAGAAGCTGGAATGGTTAATGTACTTATTTTTTTAATGGTTATGATGCATAACCGTGGCAACAATGTATCTGTTTTATAACCAGGAGCAGCTGAGTAGCATTTCAAAAGCTCAACTAATATCTGAACTATGATCCCCATGCCCCAAAGGAATTAAAAAGGAGGCTTTGAGGATGCAGAGACGTTTCATTTTGAGCAAACCTTAAAAATTTTGCAAAAAAGAAAACGCAAAGTAGGTGTGTTTCCATCTGCTGGAATCAACCAGGTAATTTAGTCAAATATTGACGTTATGCATGGCTTTAATAGCAGAAAGTAAAGGGTGTAAATTAGCTTGGATCAAACACCTCAGAAAAATAGAAAAAGTCTTTAAAATTTCTCTAATTTTGTGCCTCTGGTGAGGCAGAGAACCACCAGTTTTCCATCTCCCATTTAGCACATTAACTTTATCAGAAAAGCTATAAGCCACCTCAAGTGAGCATTAAAAAATTTACATCAACCTTTTCCAATGTGATACTTCAAAAGGGAATAAAAAATATAAAATAGAATAAAAAAAACATTGATGAAAACACAGCTACAGTAGCTTTTTCTATGAGAGAATGAACCACACATCTGTAATTCATCTCCCAGAGCCTGCTAGGACATTATGCGATGTCGCTGAACAAGAAAAGTGCATTTTTCCTTTTTATCCACCAAAACGTGACTTGGGGTTTGTCTGTTGAAGGGACATGGGAAGGTGCAGCAGGAGACCGGAGAGAGCGTTAGCAGGAAGAAGTGCAGGGAAGCGTGAAAGGAGTAAAAAGGAAAAAGCTGCTCATTGGGGTCAAGTTAAATGCAAGGGGAGCCAGGTTCAGGATAATGTTTTGTTTTTAAAAGATCAACTCTGACTCACACTTTCCTAGTTATGACTGAAACTCTTCCAAGCAAGCTGAAATTAGCTTGATTAGTGTCAACTGGACGTTAGTTTCTGAAACTAAGCACAAATCCCAACATCTGTAATCGTAGAATTCTCTAAACGTCTTGTCTGTTGAGGAAGTGATGGAGTTTTGTTGCATTGCAGGACAACTTGACACACAAGGGTGCCACTGTGTATCACTGTGACATCTGGACAAGCTCAACCAGAAACTGTTCCACCAGATGAGACGCAGACAGTGCAGCTTGAGCACTACATGAAAATGACTTCACTCGTTTAGAGAGTTATCATGTAGCTGCTGTTCACTGCAGTTTAATGAGCGGAAGAAGGTAAAACTACAGAAAGGGATGATGCAACGAGGATCAGTCAGGTTGATATCTGGACTTTGACTGGGCCAATCTTGATTCTGGTTCCTTTCCTGTAATTCTGTCATAGATTACACCGTGTTCCAAATTATAATGCAAATGATATTTTCTCAGATTTTCTTAAATGGTCAATGCAAATGATGGTCGGTATAATTTTTAAGTTATGAACAATTACAGTATAAATCAAATTTTACTGAACAAAGCTCCCAGTGAGAACAGTATTTTTGTCAAAAATAAAAAACTCAAAATGCACTATTCCAAATTATTATGCACAGCAGATTTTCTAAACATTTTATGAATTATAAAGAACTGCAAACGGTCATTCATTGAATGTGCTGCATTAAGTGGTCACGTACTAAAATCAAAAGCTAATTCAATGTAAAACATCTTAACAGGGGCTGTGCAGTTGGTAGAGCTGTTGCCTTGCAGCAAGAAGGTTCTGGGTTCGATTCCCAGCCCGGGTCTTTCTACATGGAGTTTGCATGTTCTCCCTGTGCATGTGTGGGTTTTCTCCGGGTTCTCCGGCTTCCTCCCACAGTCCAAAAACATGACTGTTAGGTTAATTGGTCTCTCTAAATTCTCCCTAGGAGTGAGAGAGTGTGTGCATGGTTGTTTGTCCTGTCTGTCTCTGTGTTGCCCTGCGACAGACTGGTGACCTGTCCAGGGTGACCCCGCATCTCGCCTGGAATGTTAGCTGGAGAGGCACCAGCAACCCTCCCGACCCCACTAAGGGACAAGGGTGTTAGAAAATGAATGGACGGACTGACCGGACGGACATCTTAATAGACCGAGTTTCATGTTAACATAGGACCCCTTCTTTGATATCACCTGCACAATTCTTGCTTACATTGAACTTGTGAGTTTGTGGATAGTGTCTGCTTTAATTTCTTTGCAGGATGTCAGAATACCTTCCCAGAGCTGCTGTTTTAATATGAACTGCATCCCACCCTCAGATTTTCTGCTTGAGGATACTCCAAAGGTTCTCAATAACGTTGAGGTCAGAGGAGGATAGTGACCACACCATGAGTTTCTCCCCTTTTATGCCCATAGCAGCCAATGACACAGTGGTATTCCTTGCAGCTTTCATTGTCATGCATGAATATGGTTTTGCTACTGAAAAAGCAAAACCATGGTTCTTTTTGAACCATGAAAGAAAGTGATCAGTCAGAAAGTCCACATACTTTGCTGAGGTAATTTTCACACCTTGGGGGACTCTGAAGGGGCCGACCAGCTCTCTCCCCATGATTTCAGCCCAAAACATGACTCCACCACCTCCTTGCTGACGTCACAGCCGTGTTGGGATATGCTGGCCATCCACCACCAATCCACTACTGCGTCCATCTGGACCATCCAGGGTTGCACAGCAGTCATCAGTGAACAAGTCTGTTTGAAAATTAATCTTCATGTATGGCTGGGCCCACTGCGACTATTTCTGCTTGTGAGCACTGGTTAGGGGTGGCCGAATAGTAGGTTCATGCACCGCAAGCCTCTGGAGGATCCTACACCTTGAGGTTCCAGAGGCACCAGCAGCTTCAAATAACTGTTTGCTGCTTTGTAAGGGCAACAGCTGCTATCTTAATCTGATGAATCTGTCTAACAGAAACCTTCCTCATAACGCCTTTATCTGCACAAACCCATCTCTGTTCTGAATCAGCCACAAATGTCTTCACAGTATAATAACGCTTCAGTTTTCGTTAAATATCTAATGTTTTCATACCTTGTCATATGGCACTACACTATCTGATGATTTTTGTCAGCAGAGAGATCTTTTCTCTTTCCAATATTGCTTGAAACCTGTGGCCTGCTTAATAATGTGGAACATCCTTCTTAAGTAGATTTCCTTTAATTGAGCTCACCAGACAAACTAATCAACCTAGATCTCTGAAATTAATTATAGTGATTCAAAGAGCTCTGACACACAATACCATCTATAAATTTAATAGCACAACAACAAATTTAATCTTTATGACACTTAAATCGAATTTGAATAATAATTTGGAACACGGTGTAGTGTTTGCTGTCAGACCCAT